CTGAAGAACAGTTTCTATTAGAGCCAAGACAAATCAAAAGCGGTGATAGGTATGTCATGATAAACACTCGTCTGTACTATTAGCATTGATCAAAAGATCTAAGTGCATTATGCTCATATGATTTTATCAGTCATTTTCACAAGAAGGTTATTGACAAATCAGACCGCCGTTTACTAAAGAATGAAAACGGGCATGAAGGTGAACGATTATGTACCGAAGGAACAAAGATAAACGAACGACACACATTTGAAAGTATACAACCACAATCATCATCACATACCATCATTAAACGTGCCATTCCAGTGGTACCAGTTCTGCTTGGTCCTCCAATACCCTATCGCGAACGAGAAGGAACACATGAACGTTATTGTCGTGCATTGTTAACTTTATTCGTGCCATGGAAATCAGTCCACGATCTTTGTGCACTAAATCAGACATAATCTGAGGCACTGGAAGTTCGAAAACCATTGATCTCTTCTAGTTCACTCAAAATTATAGAAAATATACAACTTTTGCATGAATGTAAGTACGATCGAGATAAGCACCTTCATCAAGTTCTTTTAGAAGCACAAAATGATAGCAGTATTGATCATATCCTGATCCCTGACTCCTATGAAGAAGATGAAAATACTGAAGAAGACGATCCTGAACAACTTTTGCAAATGCTTTCCATCGTAAATGAGATCATCACAAATATTTACTCGGCATTGACAGTCACTCATGAACAACGTTATGTTCATGATGCATTACAAGCAATTGATAATACAGATAGGTTTGCATTACTCAATGGTGAGTTAATTACTACCATATTCCGAAAATATTTTGTTTGATTTAGGCCGTACACGTTCTCCAGGCGAAAATAATTATGGTGCCATACACGACATCCACACATTTGTCGTAGCTAGCGAGCATCATACGACCATGATTAAAGAATGGAAACATGATATTGAAGCCCGACGAGATGAAACAAGAAACTATTTAATTTTAGGCGAAGGTACTCTGGAAGTACGAGATGATGAAACACAGATTGAAATCGTAGGTACTGGAATTCCAACAAGCCCAATTAAAACGAAAGTTGCAATAGTCCCGCCTGTGACTGCAACCAATGCGATTTTATTTCCCACAAAACAGGATATCGTCAAATAATTTACGCTAAATATACAGCAAAAATATTCTTTTATGATTGTTACTAGTCACTTAGATGGTGAACATTATGCTTATACCGGTATGTTATCTCGATTTTGTTGTTGTATGGTTTTGTTAGTCTTGATATTTAGGTACTATCGATAATCAGTTATTAATGTGTATACCTGGCTGTGGTGGCACTGGAAAATCTCAGTTGATTCGTGCACTCACCAAGTATTTCCAACTAACAAAACGGGGCAAGATGTTGCGTAAACTGGCGCCAATGTCTATAGCAGCAGCTGAGATTGACGGATTAACTATTCATTCATTTTTAGGTGAAAATCACAAAAACTGTAAAAAGAAACAAACCCGTACATTTAGACTTGGTGATATGAAGTTAGAAAATGAATGGCGTCATGTGAAGTACTTGATAATCGATGAGATGAGCATGGTGGGACTTTAAGTCTCTTAGCTCATCTAAATCGAATAGTCAAAACAGCCAAGCACGTAAATTCTGAGATACCTTTTGGCGGTGTCAATGTCATTTTCTTCGGCAACTACCTTCAATAGTCTCCTGTTTTGGACGAGCCTCTATACTATAGCTGCGCACTGACACAACAAATTACAGAACGTCAGATAGATATGTTGTGTGCACAGAAGCTTATTTCT